TAAGCATCCAACAAATGTCCACCTCAATTACAATTATCCTTGTTAGCTTTTGAAAAAGAAAAAAAAAATCCCTCTTTAAGAAGTTTAGAGTGAAGATAAAAAACAGGTATCACAGACTTTAAAACCTAAAGGAGTAGCCTGGAGCCAGTAGCTCACACCTGTAATCCTAGCTACTCAGGAGGCAGAGATCAGGAGGATCTCAGTTCAAAGCCAGCCCAGACAAATAGTTCTCGAGACCCTATCTTGAAAATACCCATCACAAAAAGGGCTGGCAGAGTGGCTCAAGGTGTAGGCCCCGAGTTCAAACCTCAGTACCACAAAAAAAAAAGAAAAGGAAAGGACATTGGGATATAGGGGCCATTGTTATAGTAGTTCTGTGTGTCTTGCCCACAAAGACAGATCCACAGGAGCAACTAGACAAAGAATACACCTACGAGAAAGTTCTCTCAGCTGTTACTGAAACACAGACACCTCAGAAATCCACATTAATCTGATCCTTGTTAGATATGGAAGGCTTGAGCCTCTTGGGCATGCCTGTGACTTCCGGCCATTGTTCTCAGGGTTCCTTTTCCAGGCCACAAAGGGATGGTAAAGGTGAGTTTACTTATGTATGAACATTCATCTTACAGGCTCTACTACCAGCAAAACATGTCCATACACTGAACGGTTTACATCAGAAGCTGACTTTATTCTCGGCCGTATTCTCAGGGCCAAGCCAATGGCACACAGTAGTTGCCCAATAAATAGGCCTCGATGTCTCTTGAAACTCTGTGTCTTAGAGGCAGACTTCACCAGTCGGGAGAGAAGAGGGCAAGAAGAAGGACTAGAAAGGGGAGAGGCTTGCAGAGTTGGCCTTTCATCTCTGTGGGATGCTGCAGTTTTCACTAGCTACTGAGCACTTTGCGACTTTGATACTTACCATCAGAACCATGTCACAGCTCAAGGACATGAGTGTGACTCAATCCGAGTCAAAGAAAGTCTGGAAAACCATCCTGGGCTGTAATCATATGGCAAGCAAAGATGGTCTAAATGTAGACACACTATCTTTCAACTTGGTTACACCAAGCACAGTAACAATTTATACTTTACGAGTGTTGATTTATTGATAAATATTGTGTGAATTAATGAGGTGACACAGTCTTTAGATATTCTTCGTTTAGAGTTCCACTTAGTAACAGGCGGGAAGCACTGAGTGGAGACCTACTGTCATGGTTTTGGATGATTTGTAAAACGTAAGATTCTTTTCAGATTATGCACATTATATAAAATGTATGTGTTTATGGATACGGTTATGTGTGTATATGCATATGCACACATGCATTCCTATGTGTATACATACACATACACACTTAACTGAAAGGTTTGGGAGCTAGATAGTTATTGGTTCAAATTCTAGGTCTGCCATTTGTAAACTGCATGACCCCGGGCAAGTTTCTTAACCTTGCTAAATTTCATTTTCCTGCCAGACATGGTGGTGTATGCCTATAATCTCAGCACTCAGGAGGCACAAGTAGAAGGATCATGAGTGTGAGTCCAACCTAGTCTACATAGCAAGTCCAAGGCCAGCCTGGGGTACACAGCAAGACCCCCCCCACCCGAAAAGCATAGCAAGATGTCTCAAAAAAACCCAACAACAACAACTGAAAAAAATGTCACATTCCCATCTGTAAAAAGCAATTCTTATTCACAGTTGTACTATGACTGCTGATGGGTAAAGTAATTTGGAGATAGACCTGGATTTGAATTCTGGCTGTACTGCTCAACTTGGACAAGACACTTGACACTTGTCAATTGTTTCCTTCTCTGTGAAAGGGAATTAAAGAATGTATGCAACAATGTAATTAGGGGGATTAATTAAATCTGCACAAGATGTTTGGTACAGTGCCCAGTATACAGTAAAGGCCTAATAAATATTATCTGCTATTATTACCACAATAATGCACTATTATTAAATAAAAAGGCAACACTTAATAAATGTTGGTGTGGTCATCTATGTCCTCTACTCAGTCTCTACCAGTGAGAAATACACAGGAATGGGGCAACTGGGTCAAGGCCACGGCCATCCTTATGGAGAGTCATGCTGCTCACAAAAAGGCCAATTTATGTTCACTCTAGTCCCCTCCGCAGTCTTCTCTGTTTTTTGTAAAAGGGTAATATGGTATCTCAAGGTTAATTTTCACTTATTCCTGTGAGGATGAACGTTTTCCCATCTGCTTTGTTTACTGTTTGGCTATCATCTAGTGTGAATGATTGCTTCTATCTTTTACCTATTTGTCAACTTGAATCCTGGTGGTTCTCTTAAAAATGTGAATAAACGTTTTATGTAATAGAATCATTAACTATTATATTTAAGGCAAATATTTTCCCAGTAAGCTGGAGCCAGAGAGGCTCAGTACAGATGAGGGAGACCAGGGTAAAGTTCTGTGTGCTCAGGAGCACTTCTGTGGGTGGAGCTGCTGTCTCCTGTGTGGCAGACTCAACTACTTCCATAATTTTAACACTCATCTCTGGCCCTGTGTGACAATGTAGGCCTCTCTTTCTAAATACAGGATATTTCTTCTTATCTTATAGACATGTCAAGTATCATAGATGAAACTGAATTCACCAGACTTCCCCATTTGGTCCCTTATTGTCGTAGCCAGACATCTTCAGGCTGTTTCTTAATATAGTGAAAAGGCCCCCAGTGTCTCTCAGTCAGACCTGTTAGACTGTCCAAAATTGCACTCTTGAAGTGTAAGTCATGTGTCCTGATATTTGATTTGGAAAATATGATCATACAAATCAAGACATGGAATAGAAGAGGGAGGCAGCCAAGTTACATGTTTTCTCAGGTCCTTTCTGTGTGCCAACAAACTTGAGCCTGAAGCAGGTAAGCAAGAACAATCCCATGGAGACTGCCAAGAAGGTGTGGGTATCTGACAGTGGGAGCCTGAAATCCAGGGAAAAGAAAGCGCTAGAAATCATTGCTTTGGGCCTTTGGTCCGACCATCCACTTTCCTTAAAGTATTTTTATATATTAATGGCAGCACTTTTCAAATTGCTTGAATAGCCAATTTATTAGTTACAGTATTGACTTTTTTCTTAGTATTGTGGCTTTTGTGGTCCATGCAGGATGTCAGCACTGTGACATTAGAAATGTGCTTCAGCCTTCCTTCTAACACCTAGCCCAGTGGCCTTTGCCAGTCATACATAGATTCAGTTCCCTCTAAAATCAACTTAAGTGGACTGACTGCAGAGAAAACACAAGTATTGGGTTGAATATAAAAGATCAAAATTCCCTTGGATGAAAATTAAATATCACTATTTCTATCACTATATAGCTCATGAGACGCTAAGCTGATAACATCCTAAACAGAAGCTTCTCTACTTGGTGTTAGTTATTTCTCAATTCCCCCCTCACTTTTTCAAATATACAATGGGTCACTTAAGAAGCCCCATTTTCTTCAGAAACAAGAAATGCTTGTAATGCACACTGAGAACAAACACAGTTTTAGTGCCTTGGGAGTAATACCAGTTCATCCACAGCGGGGTGAGCCTGTATGCGTGCACATGGTATGGACTCACTGGCCTCAGGAGAACACAGTTTTTACACTGGTTAGGGAATGCTGAGGGCTACTTCTTTTTTTTTTTTTTTTTTTTTGTGGAACTGGTGTTTGGTTCTTTTTTTGTGGGTTCTTTTTATTATTATTATATTACTGTTGTACTGGGAGTACACTGTGACATTTACAAAAGTTCTTACAATATATTATAGTTGAATTCACCCCTTCCACCATTCTCCTTTATCCCCCACCCCACCCCCATTCCTGGAATAGTTTCAACAGTTCTCGTTTTTTTCCATCTTCATACAGGACTGGGGTTTGAACTCAGGGCTTCATGCTCGAAAAGCAGGCGCTCTACAGCTCGAGCCACACCTCTCATCCATTTTGCTCTGCCAGGGCTGGCCTTGAACCATGGTCCTCCCAATCTCAGCATCCCTAGTACCTAGGATTACAGCCATGAGCCATCAGGCCCTGGCTGAAGTCTCCTTTTCTAAAATCACAGTATGGTGGTATGAAATCCACACCCTCAAACTTCAAATTTCATTCCTCCCTCAAAGTCGTAAGTATTGAAGAGTGAAGACAGGGCTAACTGTTGCAAAGACTTAACTAGGGTTTCCCAGTTCGAGGTGAGAGGGATGGGGGAGGCAGGCAGGAGGCTTAGGAATACCCAGAAGGAATTGGGAACATGGAACTCAGGTCACCAAGCAGCCGATTACAAACAAAACGGCCTTCTAAATTCCTGTGGATACCACCATACACCATGGCCTGAGTGGTGCCCTGAATTCCTTTCCACAGTGAATAGAGGATACTTGACCAGGGGTGTAGTCCAAGACTGGTGAAAGTCCCCTTAATTCCTTCCAGGATTTATCTCCCATTTCCCCAGCAGGTAAACTGGTTAATTTACATCCCAGGTAATTATCTCTGAATTTCATTGGCTGGTAACTCATCTCTCAGCTACAGCACTGTTTGCGAAGGTCAATGGAGAAATTCCGAAGGAAAACTTCCTCCTCTACAGCACCACGCGGAAGAGACGCACCCACCGCAGCCAACCCACCCAGGTCCACTTCACCCACGCAGGTCTTCCTGGCAAGTTCCTCCGGCTGCTGCCCCCGCCCTGCTTCACGTGCCTCAGGGGGCCCACGGTCCCCGGACCGCCCAGGACACACCTGAGCCCCCTGGACCCCACGCAACAGAGCATCGCCCACGTGTCCCCAACCCACGCGGAACCCACGGCAGAGAAGCGCGCTCTTGAGCGACCCCAGGCTCGCAGTCGAGCTGGTCTAGGTGACAGAGCATCAGCCGGGCATCCCCGAGTCCTTCAGAGAGAAGCTCGCCGCACCTGCCTCGTCCCGATCGCAGCGTCCGCCCGAGCGCGCCGCCCCCGTGGCGAGGTCCCCGGCAGGTGCCCCGCGCACGCCCCGCTCTAGGAGACCCGCGAAGGGGAAGGAAAGTGCTCTGTACCTGATCCTGTCCTTCTCCACCCTCTGCAGTTGCTCATTTCTCTCCAGCACCTGAAGGATCTTCCTGGCTTCTTCCTCGTTTAAGAAACTGCAGTCAAACCCCCGAGGAGCTTCCGTCATTTTCCCCACCAGCTGTGTTACAGTCAAGCTCCTGCGCGCCTCGCGTCACGATGGCATTTTTCAAGATAGACAAGACTAGTTTCACCAACTTGATTCCAGAGCCAGTGATAAGTCCTCCCCTTTGAGAATCCAAAACCACAAACCTAGGGAACGGCCCACACATACAAGGCTCATTTTTACACCACCTTAATGACATGTTTCTCTCAACCTGTCCAACCAAGATGCAAAATGAACCACTAAAGGGAGAGAAGGAGCCAATCCCATTTCGAGGAGGGCGGGCCCTGCCTCGTCTCCTCCCCTCCCCTTCCCCACCGCCTATCTGACTTGTTAGGCAAACAAGCCTGCATAATTCAGCCTCTAAGTGCGGCCTGGCCTTAAATGTTGGCCCTAAAGTATTTCCTTTGGCGGTTGCTGTTTGCTCTAAGAACTTGAACTTGAGTAGCAGAAAGAGTGAAAAGAAATTCGTAACTAATTAAGAACTCAGGAAATAGAACTGCGGGTAGGCTCTTCAGTGCCTGGAATGATACCCTATTTGAAAGACCAGGAGGGGCTAAAATCACATACAGCCATTTGTGAACAGACCTGGCTTACCCTTGGCAATAAATTCTTTGCCAAACTTCCCATCTCTCACCCCCTCACACCGCCCTCCCCCAGCACTGTCCCACTAAATTCTCAGACTTTGGAAACCAACAAACAAAAAACCCATTTATGGTAGTTTTAGAAGATAGGCCTGGGGCAAAGGATGGGAGAAAACACCTCTGACTAAAGCAAAATGTAATCCTATGAAACCACAGACATTGTTTTTCCTAGAAAGTTGATTATTCCATGATGCAATGAAGTATGACAAGTATTTCCAAAGATTTTCATATATATGTAAAAATCATCAAGACCCTTTCAGAAAACATGTTTCTCTTCCTACACAAAAACGCCTTTGTCAGATGGACTTCCCTGCCATGTAGCTTTAGTAGTTTGGTCATTTCTTATGTGGTGGTAGTGATTACTAATGTTTAAAATTATTTCACATGTGTCACCTGTTTTCATGATAAATAAGCCCAATAAAGATTTTATATCTGTGAAAAAAAAAAAAACCAAAAACATGAAAATAAAAATGGCTATGTTTTGGCCTCTCAGCCTTCTACTCACGCTGATCATATTTACATGTCTGGGCAACTAGCCATTTGAATAACTTTTAGTGGGCGTCCTCTGTATAAAGCAGGAACCAATTCTGCTTATCAATGTTGCACAACACAAAACCCCTTGATAAGCTGGGTCTGTGTTAATGACAGAAGTTTACAAATATGTCTTCGTCTCTTCATTTATTGGGCATACACATTGGATTTTTAATGTGAGCACTGGTGGGTTTTTACTCTGTTCACAGTATGACCAGTGAGCTGATTTCATCCAACATAGTCTGATGCCTGTTACATGTAGGCATTGTGCATTGTAAGCAACACAGTCCAGTGGGGGAGATAACATGAACAGAAAACTGAGCACATATTAAAGAAAATATACTATACTCTCCAGAAGAGAATTTTCTATGGGTGTGGCATTTAGGCTGAAACTCCAATAGGAAGAAACAGAGAAATTGTGAGTCTATTCTAGGCCGGGGGAGCAAAGGATGGATAGCAGCAGAACGCTCTCTAGGAATCTTCCCATGTTCCACGGGCTCCTCTGATGAATGGCCATGGTGAGCAAAAACTTGAAAGCTAGAAAAGGCAGGAGTGCGTTCAGGGATTGGTAAATGATCAGATCTGGCTAGAGTATACATTCTCAATAGTACAAACTCTTAATCTTTTGATGTCTAAAGCACAGATAGATATGCGACACATAGGCAGATATGCAGTGTATAATAATAGCATTTTATGAGGGGAAATTAATCTAAAAATCCCTTAAATGTTCCTTGGGGGGAACAGTAATGAAAAGAGGTTTTGAACTCAGAGCCTCATGCTTGGTTGGCAGGTGCTTGAGTCTCTCTACCAGCCCTTTATTATTATTATTATTATTTGGTGGCACTGGGGGAAAAAAAGGTTTTGGAGCAATGGACTAGCCAAATAGGGCACATGAAGAGTAAATGAGGCTGAGATCTGATCGTTAATGCCATGCTTAATAACCTGGATTTCATTCTGCAAACAGTGAAGAGCCAATACAGGCTTGGAAGTGACAATGATGTGGTTGGGACTGAACTTTGGGAAGATTACTCTTGTAACAGGAGACAAGGAAGAGTGATGGCCGACATAAGGACTCCAAGTTACCTGTGATTCATCCACATGGCGATGCCCAGTACAAGTGGTAAATGGGGGACTGGAAATCTTGAAGTAGGGATGAGAAGTAGATTTGGAAGTCATTTACTTGAAGATGATGGTCAAAACCCACAGAATAAGTACAGCAAAGGGTGAATGAACAAGGAGCAAATGGTGAGCTCAGAGAGCTGAATGACTGACCTCATTAGCATCAGCCCTGAGTCATGCCTCAGCCCTAGGTTGTGGCACAAAGGGAGATACTATTGAGACATTGTTAGATTGACATTTTATATTGAGAAATTTACAAGGTATTGGGGTTTGCCCTGGTAACTGCATAGAATAGTTTCATTAGGGTTATGAACAATTCTCTTAAAGTAAAAATAATTCTGAACTGTTTGTTTTCTGGAATTATTTAATCAAGTGCAAGCAGCCATTTGCAAGCTTAGTATCTGTTAAGTATTCTGGATGGATAGAAAACAATCTTCAGAAATCTCCCTTAGTCTTATCTTTTACAGGCTGCTGGCCAAATCCCCAGCAGAAGGCTTAGTCTCTTTCTTCCCTGACAATCACTCAGCCATAAGAAATGCTGATCACATCACTTGCTTACATGTCTGAATTTTTGCCATCTAAAGTCACCTATGACCCCAGTAGGCCACTGAGAGTCAACTCTGTAGATTAAGGCTAGTTTTTTCACAGAAAGAATTTTTCTGGCCTATTTTGTCTCCTTTTCCTGGACCATTCAAAAATGCTCTCTCCAACAGCAGATGGAGTGTGTTTGGTGACAGCTTTCAGTTAAACAAGCAAATACATGTTGGCTTGAAAATAAGGTGTTGGGAATAGTCTTTTACTAGTAAACAAGAAAAGTAAACTCCAAAAAGGGAGTTTGCACACTTCATTTCAGTTCTAAACGTTCAGTGAATTCCTTTGCAAATGTAGATAGAAAACGACCTTTTTAGTTCCCCCTGAGGCTTCAATCTTGTATCTAAAATCATGGGGTAAAGATTCAATTCCATAAAAAAATGTCAGTTAAAAATCCCTAAACCTTAGCTTTTTAAAAAAAAATTTCTAAAAGAAAGATCATAATAACCAACATTATAAGACTTTTGTAAAATTCAGTGAGGTGATGAAATAATGCAACTAATGAGATTACCACATAGTTGGCACTCAATGAATGGTATCTATTGGTAACATTTGTATACAGAGCAGCCTATAATTTTAAAAGTATCATTCTCTTTGATTATGAAAAGAAATACCTATTTGTTGGGTTGAAGAAAATTGAACAATATAAGATTCAGATAGATGGAGACCAAAATTTCAGTTTACTGGTAATGTTTAATGGAAGAATGTGGGTTAGTTCTGTGGCTAAATGTTTGCTAGTGCTGACCTTCCCACATCTAGCCCTGAGCAGGGGGAGGAGTTGAATTTGGGGAGCAGACATTACTGGTGATAGATACATGGCACAGAGAATTATCACCAAGTGCTCCCAGCTTTCTAATGGATTAATATCACCATCAAAATGTATGATTAAGGAATTTCATACCCTTATCACCCTTCAATCAGATAAGTTACTCCTCCACCTACTCTGAGAAACAGGAAGTAATGGTCAGGCAGAGAGGCTGGAAGTTACTGCAGTCACAAATGTCTCATCCTATGTAAATGCAAGAACATAGAAATGAGCAAAACTCTTAGTATCTTGGTTACTTAACCAATGTATTAAGGATTGATATAATTATTATTTTATATACTACTCCCACTGTCTGTATACATGTATTTATTTATTTAAAATAGAAATAACATATTTTTTCTAGAATGTCCCTTTATATGACTCATGGACTTCCCTAGATAATGAGGTATCATAGATCCTTGAGTAATATGAACGTAATGCAAGATTCATAAAGACCTTTAGAATATTTAAACAAGTCACTGAACACCAGGGTGACAGATGGCATAAGTGTATGATTCTAAAACTCAAAGCATCAGATGAAGCAAGGGGACCAGAGCCTCCTGGTCTTTCCTGTCAGAAATTAATAAATCAAGTTTCCACATCTCAAAATGTACCTGGCAACAAACAAAACCAAACCAAAATCTGCCAAAACTCAGGGTCTGAGCAGCACATCCTAGTCTGAACATTCAGTTCTGCCCAGTTCCATGTCATCACTGGAACAGACTTTCAGTGTTCCCACTCTACCTAAAGGATAAAGGAGGGAGGCAGTGAACTCTGAGGTTTGTACAAACACCCAAGACTCTGTTCAAAACTCAGAAAAAAGTAAACATTTCTAGATATTCTATGAGTCTATTGTTAGCCTGATAGCAGAACTTGAAAAAAAACAAGGTCAACCAACAAACACATAAGCCAAAAATACTACAATTTCCCTAGTGACTCAGATGAGACAAAACTCTAAGAAAAATGCCAGGAAACAAAAAAAGGTAGAAATATATTGCATGACTAAGAGATTATTCTAGGAATACAAAAATATTTTAATATCAACACAGTTTATTTTATCAGGTTAACTTATTCTTTATCAGGATGTCAGAGGAAGAGAATTATATGATTAAAAGTTCTTTGGTAATATTTAAGATTGCCTTTTGTTAGAACTAAACTACATTAAACTAAATTTAATGTCCATAGTAAAGTAGGATTAGAATGATGTTTATTTCACATAGTAAGGAATAGTTTGTCCAGATAATTAATGGTAAACAATTAAGAACAAAGCACAGATAGCTGCTGAGTATGATCTAACGTTGTTCTGGTAGTTGTTGATAAAAAGTACTGAGGTCTAACTCTTAGAAAAGAAAACATTGACCATAGATGTTGATTATCTACATAGAAAAAAATCCAAAGAAATTCATTTTAAAAAACTATTAAAACTAAAAAGAGAATGCAGGTA